AAAGTTGCAAACCTATGTGGAATAGTCAGGAACACACTGTCTTCACGCATACATTTTTCTATCTACATTTGGTGGAGGGGAGTGACTTATATGTGGGTAGAAAAATGTATGCGCGGAGACAGTATGTTCCGCCCCCCCCTTCGGGGGGGCTCCACTTCGTTAAACATAACCCTACCCACCCTATGTCAGAGGTGTGGAGTGGATCTCGCTTTACGTGGAAAGTTGCAAACCCATGTGGAACAGTACAATGGTGGAAGTACATGCGTGGAGACAGTATGTTCCGCCCCCCCCCCCTTCGGGGGGGCTTCACTTCGTTAAAATATTAACCATACCCAAACCATGTCTGAGGTGTAGAGTGGATCTCGCTTGCTCGGTCAGTCTGCGCCGCGAGAAGAATTAAGCGTGCGCGCGCGCGCGCGCGTGTGTGTGTGTGTTCAATCCGTACCGACCGTTGCGGGAGGGGGCAGGTGTGACCTTGTAAATGAAAATGGTAGTTTGTTTATGATTTTAAAGGTAGCTACACAGGCATTTTAATAAAAATTACTAAGAGAAAGTATTAAAATTTTTAGTTTTCAATTAATTGTTATATCTCCTAAACCAATGCCGTCCCCCACTTGATTCTTGCGGGGAATTACTCAGAAAACTCTCCCCTACAACATATCTAAGTGGCGAGGAAATCGGTGAGGTGTGACCTTTTCTGCATATTTACCCAATATTTTACAGGACACGCATTAGAGAACTTTGCGAAATGAATTTTCTCATAGATTTCCTCAATAGCATACGCTGAGTACACAGGTTTTAGTGTTCTCATTTGTAATTATAAACCTTTCTCGATAAGAACTTATCTCTGATTTTACATGCGAGATGTATATGTCGATATCGTGCTAATGTACATACAATAGTTTGCCTCACTTTGCGCGCATGCGAAACGACGACGTTTGCGCCATGCGAGAAACGAGGTTTCGCATGTTTAAGTAATTTGCGAATATCTCCCCATTGGACTAACGTAATTTACTTCTAATCTCCATTGGTATTGAAGGAACGGGGGGAAAAAAAAGAAGAAATCCCGCGTACCGTACGTCGGAAGAGCCGTGTCTCCCGAAACGTAAGCTCATCTCTATCCAAGTGTCAGTATCCAAAGTTTCTCATTCGCGTGTTACATTCAGTGCGTAAATGATAATTACGCCACTCCCGCACTGACAACACAACAAACGTGGAATCGGATGTAAATACGTCGAGACGAGGCGTCATGCTCGATGACAATTCGCTACTTGGCAAAACGTCAAGACGTCGCGCGTCGGCGTTATCCGCGAGTATTTAAGCGCGAGCAGTTAGACGCGTGATCAGCGTCGATAATGCACGTCGCCGACGGAGAGATATAATGTGAAGTACAATACTTGGCATTGCGCGCGACACGTCGCCAATGCCGGTGCGATGATGACTGGATGAACTGACGCGCGATGAAATGCCACTAGCGACAAAAAAATGTAGGTAGGGGCCACGAGCATGTTTTTTCTCCTGGGAACGCATATCGACCTTCCTCAAACTGTCTTATATCGAGTGTTAATACGGTGTTATACAGTCCGTATTACGTCATATGACAGATTTGGTGATGACGTAGCGCAGAGCGTAATGAAGCGACGATGGATCGATAAATATCGGCGATCGTGGCTAAATATCAACCGATAGTCCGTGTGATTTCAACTTGCAAAAGTCGCGCAATCGTAACGTGTTGAATTTAATTATTATCTTGCGTCGGTATTTTCTTAATAAAAAGTATCGTGAAAAATCAACGATTTTCATTAAGCTACGAACGATAAAAAGAAGGACATTAGGTTTTCAGTTATTAGGTTTCATCCCTAGTAGCACAATACAATTAAATATTCGACCAATGTTTAACCAATGTTTGGTCAATGCACTGTGCTACTAGGGAGATAAACGGATAACAACATCTAATTCCTCGTTGAATTTCAAGTATACTTTATCTACAATTAAAAGATTTGTAACTCATTCAAAAGAGTCAATAACAGATGTTTAAAGATTAGAATGATGTAACGACATCGTTTCGTTTATCTTTTTTAATATTTTCGTTAGAGTAAAATTGACTCTTCTTAGCTGATGAAATTATAAAGGGAAGATAGCTCAATTAAATCTAGGATATGTTATAGATAATTGCATACTTAATAAGTGAGAATGTCTGCAAGATATTTATATTTCTGTACTCTATTTATACTCCGCTTTGTGACGCTAGTTGAATTACGACGAATTTGGATCAGCATTCACATTGCGTCGTATCTGTCATTACGTATTTGATTAGTAATTTTTACGCAATATTATGCAATTGAAATAAATAGAATAGCACAAGCGTGGCGAATAACGATGCGCCGGAAATGTATCAGACAATTTTATCACGATTACTATAAAATAGCGTCGATTATAATAATCGACACTCCCAATTATAAATAATATGGAAATTTCAATCTACCTTAATAACTTTCGCCAAATTACTTCTCACAGTTTTCACTTGTTTCTTATTCATTATTTTAACAGGTCGTGTTAAAATAATCTTCGTTATTAATCATTAATATAATCATTAATGTATTATAACTTTGGATAGTCCTTTGAAATTATCGCACTATTGGTTTACAAGGGCTTTAGTTTCCTCGCTCATTGACCAACTGACTTTGTGACTGAAAGGTCGATTGCTCGCGTAGAGTTTTGGCAATGATCTAGATGACGGTCTAGACGCGACATCATAGGTTAACATTCTTGAAAGCTTTTATCAAAATTGCAGCACATTCGCGCCGTGTCTGTAGTTTTGTTTCTTGAGAAATATAAACTTTCAGATTCTCTCACAATCTTCCCTTAAATGTGTGACGTCAAGATTGAAGAAACCGATTGTATAATAACTCTTGCATTAATTATATTATTTTTAACCAATGGGCTAATACGGAATTAAAACGATATGATCACCTGAAAGGAATACTAGAAATACTGATAACATCAGTACAAATATAACGATGGAACGTAGAACTTCTAAAATAGAAAATGTATATATCGTAGGAAAAAGGGAACATATAAGCAAAAGCGTCAAATGCACATTTATACATGCACATGCAAATCTGCTCGCAGAAGGATCTTAATAGCACCTTTAGTGCCAGCCCAAAGATCGCGAACTGTTACAATTTTATACGAAGTAACATATTACGGCAAGATAAATGTAATAAATAATTTTTTAAACTAAAATTTAAACTTTTATGATTACATACATGATCAGTTTTGTTCTCACTGTCAGTATTGATTAACATTGAAAGTGCATCTACTTTAATTCTGATATTACAATGTATTCTCGAAATTAAAATTCAAAAGGAGATTTTTGTGAATCTAGAATGCAACGCGAAATACGAACTTACTATATTCTTGCTAGAATAAATTATTAAAGTCATATATCTTACTATTTTTGTGTCATTAATCTATCGGAAATTTATAAAAATGTCCGTCGCCTATCTATGTTAACGTAAGGGAATATTGAATTAAATTTACTTGGCCAGCAATCACGTGGGAAGGTGCTGATCCATGTGTTTGAGCAGATATAAAAACAAAATAATGCACTGTGACTCACGATTCGACGGATTTCTGTAATTTTTCGAGGCGTTCCTCGAGACTTCGAGCCGGTGCTTCTGTAAACGCTGAGAGATACGCGAGCACAGGTCCTGCCAAGCTCTTTACTTCTTCCGTTACGGGTTTAAGCTTTTCAGCTTCTGTTACGAGTTCCTGTATCACAACAAGATCAGAAAGCGTGTAAACTATCTTCCATTAGATCTCATTATGTTGAAAAAAATGTTTAATATCTTAATTCCTTAACATATTAAGTTTCAAATTAAAGTATCTACTAGTGAAAATGTCGAGGCATATTTTAGTAAAGTGAAAAAATCACTGATAATTCACATAAACGTTCTCCACGAGCGTTCATCGCGGTTTGATAATTCGTGAGCGACTAAGGTAGTTAGCTTTGGAGGGCCGAGCACCTGTGGTGCCTGGCTGTGCAAGTCTGACACGTTTGGCATTTATAAAGAGGGTGCACCAGGAAGAGAGAAAGACAGAACTAATTGTATATCTGCACCCTTGGTAAATCGATAAGAATGTGTATCCACATAAAATACGACACTGCCTAGCCGTTTAAAGGATCAAAAGGTATGCCTCGCGTGACATATTTTCTATTATTATACAAAGTTTTATATATGTGTATATGTTGATAACTGCAGGACATGCTTAACCCATTTTCAATATTTTTACCTATTTTTATATAATTGATTTAAGTTCGTGGAATATAATGTACATGCTGGATTATTCTGAGACTAATCCGGATGATAATCGTATGTTTATTCTTGTTTGCGATTAATTTTTCTCCAGTAGAAAAATTAAAATTTTATCCGTATTTGAAAAATCGTTACTTACTTCTAATGCTTTGGCGGTATCCTGCAAATGTTGTTTCGACCGCACCACTGTGTCGATGAGCTTGTTTTTCTCTTCAGTCGCAGTCACTCGCGTTTCAATAAGAGTCCATTGCGCTTCTAAGTCTTCCCAGTGTCGCGTTAATGCCTCGAGGGTATCCCTACGTCCTTCGAGTCCCGAAACTAATTCGCGCCATTCCGAATTGATCTCAGAAAGCTGCGATTCTATCGTTTTCTTGTTATTAGCATCTGCAAGTCGGAGGACCTCTCGTCCACGTTCGTTTAGAAGATCCAACTCAAATTGTTGATTCTATGAAAATTATAATTGAAAACCTAATTAATCAGTTTTGAATGATACGTCATATTTTGACACGATATGTCATACATAAAGCAATATATTAAATATAAAAATGCAGGTGTGTATGTGTGAAGAAGAATTTGTTATAACTTTTTAAATATCTTTCCTTATTTTATACATAAGAAATGTCTGATTGCAAACATCATGAATATGAATTTATATAAGTTGAATAATTTAATTTCGTGTAGTGTAAAAGATGTATTATTATTCATCAAATGGAAGAATACATTATTTATATCGGTAGTGCTTTTTAACACACACCTGGATGTCGTTGAGAGCATGTGTGATTTTCTGAATATTGAATTGTAATCCAGCTAACGTAGTGACCGGTTCATCCGTAAATTTAGTTCTGCTGATGACGGCGCGAACACGTTCCAGGCTCTGTGTATATTCTCTCCACATCTCTGCACCCTGTTCCAGACGTGAACGTTGCGACTTAGCCGTATTGAGGGTGTTCTTTAACAACTGAGTATGTTGCTGTTGTTGGCCGCTTAGCTCCTCCTGCTCGTAACTATCTAAAGACGGCCAGATTTTATCTGCCACCTGTTGAATCTGCTGTGACACGAGTTCGCGTATCGAAGATTCAGTGCTGAAATATATCTAAAAACAAAAATTAACACTTAAACTTATTTATTCACGAAATTATTAACTTGACACATAATTGAAACTTGGTCTCTAATTCCTTAATTTAAGTGATTCAACCTAGTTGAAGGAACAATAAGGAGAATTTCTCACCTTGTGCTCCTCCAAATCGCTAAGAATATTTTCAAAATCTAGGCCCTCTTTGTTGCTTTCGAGTCGAATCTCAGCTTCACGAGCCCAACTGTGAAGCTTGTCTGTGAGAGCTGCATAATCCAGTCTCATTTGCATATTACTCTCGAAATAATTTCCACGTTCTTCCATCTCTCGCGGTAAAGATGTCAACAAGGAGACTGCCTCGCTTAGCATCTCTTTTAAAGATCCAGGCATTCCTTCTTCATGTCGCAGTGATTCTTTCAGATTTCTGATTCTATCTAGATATTCGTTTACGTCGGCACAAAGAGCATGATGTTTTTTCAATTCAGCCTCGACGCTCGTCGGATCCCTCTCGAGTAACGGTCTGGATTTAACTTCCTTCTCCTTGCTCTCAAGCCAATCAAGAATGTCCGCCAATTCGTCAGCGAGTCTTCTGTGCTCAGCTGCTGCCAGTTCGTGCTGCTCTCTTTGCGTCTCCACTGCTCTTCGAAGGGCCTGTAATTGTTGCTTTAATGATTGCAACTGCTCCGTCACGTTGTTTCTATCCACGACCGAACCTTCGGCCGCTATTTGCTGTCCTTTGTCCGTCGCACTAGCGAGAGTAGCTTCACATTCCTGAATTTTTAATATAGCGTCGTCGTACCTGTTAAATTTTTGACAAGTTGAATTAATTAGGTGCCTATTGTTATAAATAATTCTAAAGTCAAAATTTTAATTAAATTTTAATATATATCGGTAATTGTAGTACCTTTTAATTTTGTCTTCCGTTGTTTGTCCAGATTTCTCGATATCCCGAACAATTTCAGTGTACTTTGCAATGAAAGTAGTAATCTCTGCGATTAAGGCGATAAATTGTTGTCGTAATAGCAGCAGCTGACGAAGCTTCGCTATTTGCGCTTCGAGAGCTCTTATTAGGTCGTCCTGTTGGGCTAATACACCATGCAGATCTCCCACATTAGCGGATTGAAGATCGGATAATTTAGCTTTCTTTGCTTTAAGGTCATCCAAAATTTTTTCGTAAGCAGCCAACATTCCTTCCACGTCTTCCACGCGAGCACCGATCGGCTTGTTGAGATCGTGAAGCTCTTTCTGAATGTCTGTCATGAACTGAATTGCCTCCGCCACTCGCGCGGCAGCTTCTTCAGCTTCGTCTATACTCTTCTGGAGCGCGAGTGCTCTCTCATTTATGACACCGGCTACTCGTCCGTGAGCTTCTTTCATATTTTTCAATTTTTCGCTTAACTCCTGCTTATCAGCGTCACTCACAGTTGGTAAAATTGATTTCCCTTGTTGGTTTATCTTCTCTATGTCATCACCATACTCTTGCGCTTCTTTCTTCAATCGATCGTACTGTGAAAAGAAAGAAATGTTTAGATTCTTCAAATACATATTGCAAAAAAATATATAAGATGCATCAAAATCTTATACATGCCATGTCCTTTTAAATATAATTTCTGAAGCGAATTTAGAGATAACTCTTTATTTATCAGGGATATACACATACCTTAGCAAGTTGTTCTCGAAGAATATCAAGACTGGAAGGTCGCAACTCGGAAGAGGTTGCTACTTCAGCTTCCTTAATCCACCGTTGACACTTATCCAATTCATTTTCAAAAGCCTTGCGCCCCTGAAGAAGATCTGCCAACGAGGCTTGTTTTTCTCTTGCTTCCTTCTTCAACTCTTCGTAATCCTTACTTAGATCGTCTAAGAGACCCTGGAGTTTGACGCGACTATCCGCATTACAATCCTTCAACAAGTTGTGTCCTTGTTTAAGAATATCTTTAAGATTGCTTTCGTTAAAGGAATCGATGTCAGCTTCCAATCCACTGTGTTGCACAATATCTTGCTCAACCCTCGAAGCTTTCAGAGGCAAATATCCACTGAGTTTTTTCAAGTCGTTGCCTTTAGACTTTATCCAATTTCGTGCTTTTTCAATATCAGCCTCTAATTTGCGACGTGCATCAGCAGCCGTACTTGCAACGGATATTTCTTCCCTCAAAGTAGCACATAACTCAACCTGCTCGCCGCGCAAAGACCTCGTGTCGGCTTCTAATTGCTGCTGCTCGCTGGTTTCTAGTTCGTTCTGCATATTACCAACTCTCTTTTCTAGCGTATCTATAATCAATTGCTTTCCATCCGCCTCTTTCAGCATAGCCTGTACAAATGTAATATTATATTTAAAGAGTAATATATATTATATATAACATTCCTTAAAGGAAAAGTAATAGATAAGCTAAAGAATTACCTTGAGAGTGAGCAGCCTTTCTTCCGCTTGTTTGCTTTCGAAGCCAAGTAACTCAGGCATCTTTATCTGTTGTTTCTTCTGCTCAATCCACTCACGATTCTCTTCAATCTCTCGCCTGGTTGCTTCGATGCCCTGTGCCGTCATCTCCAAGACCTGGGCTTTCCTTTGTAACTTCTTACCAATGTCCGCGTATCGTCTCTCCACTGACTTGATTTGCTCTTCTATCTGCTGAGAGTCCAGATTGCTAACCGAGTCCATTACTTGGTCGCCCAGTTTTTTTACTTCTGCCAATTTCTCCGTCCCCTGAGACTCGAACTCGCTCGTGATGTCTTTAAGATTTGAAATTTTCTGACCGATAGTCAGTCCACTACCCTTCTCAATCATGTCGACTTTTTTCGACAGGCCATCCAGCCACGTTTGAGTATCCTGTACTTGTGATCTGTACTTCTGGATAAGATCCTGTGCCGCTTGTTTCCCAGCAATTGCGTCAGTCAGTTCGGCTTCCAGCTTGTTCAATCCTTCCTCAATGTCATGGTCGTCTTCATGAAGCGACAGCTCTGTCAATGCACGAGTGCGACGCTCGCCAACGTTGGTGAGTAATTCATTCATCGCCTGCAACTCGGCCTGGGCAGCTTCTGCTCGCAGTTTCGCAGGTCGTGACTTCCATTCAGCGCAGAGGGCCCGTTGCTGATTAATCCAAGCACGGAGCGAGTTCTTTTGTCGCAGTTGCTCCTCGAGTTCACCCACTGTTTTCACTACGTTCGCCAAATGTGTTTGTATCTGATAGCATTGAAGAAACATAATATTATTTAATTTGCTTTGAAAGCATGTAACAAGTTACAAAATTTATAACATAATAGATTTAACGTAATAAAAATAATTTTTAGTACGGAAACCCAATTAGTCAATGTTAGACAAACCATTTATATTTATATTTTTTACGTTGGATTTTACATTAATCAATTTACAGAATTACAGTTATTAATTTTATTTAACTAATTGATAAGTAAAATCAAATACATACCTGGTCGATAAGATCATCGAGTCGTGTTCTGACTTCGACCTCTCTCACAGGAACTTGAATGGGTGGAGCATCGAGAGGACTGCCAGGTCTAGAGACGCATGCCGCCGCAGCTTCGCAGGCTTCTACTGCTAATGCCAATCGAGCTTTTTCAGCTTGCAGCTTGTTGTGCAGAGTGCGAGCACACTCGAGGCCCTGCTCGGCAGAAGTTAAGTTATCCACTGGAGCCTCCAATCCTTGAATCATTTCCGTCTCGTACATGTCTAGATTCTTCATAATGCTCTCTAGGGTGTTTTCGTATTCTTGGAACTTGGCCAAAGATTCTGCCAATCTGTTCTTGATTTGCAGAGCGGTATTCAATAGCGAATTGTAACTATCCTGAACGTTCTGCAACTGTGTCTCTATAGTTGATCTAATAGTAGGATTCGCACCGACATATCGATCTATCTGGCCATGACCCTTCGACTTTAATTCGTCTAGTACTTCTTGATACTTCTGGATTTCAGCTAGCAATGTTTCATGCTGTTTGATTTGCTCGATCGTTTGTTCTTTGTTAGTGATATAGAGAGAATTGTGCGCCATTAGTTGGAATGAAATTTGCAACAGCCACTTTTCTGTTTCTTGCAGAGCAGCGTGATACGCGTTGTATTCCTGTATCTCGTTCTCCATCAGCTTTTTTCTCTCGCTGACGAGTTCAGCCAATGCCTTCCATCGATCTAACAGTCGTTTCGTTTCGTTTAGCGTTCCGTTGCTTTTCGCCCATGCTGACAGTTCCGTTGCCTCCGTCGTCAAATGATCCAAGTCGGACTTTTTATCGCGAATCTCCTCTTGAATATGTTTGTACCGTTCGAGCATTGTCTTCATTTCGCCGAACTCGCCCTTTGTATCTGAGGAGCCTTTAACAACGCCCTCGTTCTCTTCTAACCATCTTGCAAATTTATTATGCGCTTCTGCGTGATCCTCCCATCGACTCAGAACCGATTTTACTTTGGCTTGAACTGTATTGAGATCTATACTTAATTGTTCCCAAGTCGAACGTAGATTGGCCATATCCGATCGTAACTGATCCTGTTGCTCTGGAAGAGCCATATTAATTGCCTTTGCAAAGGCGTTCTGCAATGTTGACAGTAGATGTTGACCTTCCGTCATACGTGTCGCGACCAGCTATTAGTAAAATAATTTTATCGTTATTAAATATCTATGCAGTTATATTTGCTTAAATTTTGCTCGCTATTTAATCAATAACTCTAGCAAATAATATTTATTTGATAGCTTGTTTTAATGTCTTTATTAATGTACATATTCTACAATGTGACAAAAAAATTATACACTAGTGAATTTACATTTGTATAATATATATTTTATTAGTGCAATAATGATTTATTGTTAGTCAAGCATCTCTAAGATATACTATATTATTTTTCCCGATAAAACTCACCCTCAAGGTTTCTAATTTATCTTTTGCCCAAGCTGTGTCTCCCACACCGATACAATCTTCCACTGAGCCCTGAGCTGTGCGTAACCAATCCTCCATCTCTTTCTTAGCTTTCAAGAATTCGGTGTGATCGGCTAAGTTTTTCTCGACTCTTGAAACAAGCCCTTGTGCATCTGTCAAAAGTGATGTGTACGCTGATTGCAACTGTACCGTTTTATCTCGCGCCCAACTGCAAGCGCTAATCTCCAACAAAGCTTCACATTTGTCATTCAAGTCTTCCAAGACTGGTTTTTGCTTCACTGCTTCCTCCACCAAACGTTTACAACGCTCTAAATCCTCTGGAGTTTTGTTGTCCTTAGCTTGTTCGTCTGCGATTTTCTTTTGAAAGTGATCTATCCACCGCTTCATGCCGTCTAACGTATTCGTAAACTGCGACCAACTTGAAATACAATTGGCAAGAGTTTGTTGCGATTCCTGACATTGTGCTTGCAAAGATTTCCAATCAGCCTGTACTTGTCTCATGTCTTGCTTAATAGAGTCTTGACCCTCAGGTCCGGTCTTAGAGATCACAACGTCGCTCAGTTCGATCACCTTTGAAATCAACGTGTCGCCTTTCGGCAAGGATAAAATGATTTGATTGACTTTATTCTCTCGTTCGATGATCCGCTCCTTTTCACCGTGAGTATCACTGTACTGTTGAAGTTCACCTTTTGTACGACGTACCCAGTCACCTGCCTCATTTAGAGCTTGTTGGAATCTTTCGTGATCTTTAACTTGATCTTCCAAGTTCTAAAATAACGAAGTAATGATATTAGAGAATATTATATTACGATATTATAACAAGATGAACCGAAATACGTGATACAATCGAGAAGGAAGTTTTACTACTTAAAATAAGTCAAAGTAATAGCGTAAATTCTTGTTAACAAGGCCTCGTTTTCACAAAAAATTTATAATTTCAAGTCTTGAACGATTAACATCATTCCTCTTCCAGTTATACCACATATTTTGCTTTTATATTCCTGTTGGCAATTGAAAAAGAAGCTCCACTTACATGAATCTTTTCGGAAATTAACTTCTTCAGGCTGTCATATTTGTTGATGGTCGATTCGTAAGGATTTTTCGATACGCTGGGGTTTTCAGCGAGACGAGCTTTCAAACGATCCACCGTTTCGCCATGACCGTGAATGTCTCTTTGGAGAATCTTATATTTTTCTAACAAAGCACGTTTCTCGCTGAGATCATTTCGGCAAACGTCTCCTGATTGAACCTTGCCTTCCACTTCTTCCAACCAATCCGAAATAAGTCGGTGAATCTTGTTGAGCTCCTCCAACATGCTTGCTCTCACTGACAATTTTTGTCTCACATCTTCAACATCGACCAACAGCTTATCAAATTCGCTTTTCAAGTTCTCAGTATCTTCTTGAATCTTTGCCGCACCGTTCTGTTCTGTGTTCATAATAACTTTTTCTTTCAATTCTAGGGCGTATCGCAATTTGTTCTGACCTTGCTCCAACGTCTGCCGAATAGCTTTACACGTGTGTAACTTATTGTTAACCTCAGTCAATGTACTTGGAATGTCTTTACATTCGCTCAACTTATCTCGCGTACGCTCAATCCAATCTTGACACTCTTGATACAAGGTATTATGTTGTTGATGTTCCTAATTAACATTTTAGTAAAAATTATCATGTACATTACTATATATTTATATGAAATGTGTATCTATATGCCATGTTATATTCGTGTTGCATGGTAAAAGACTATGTGGTTAAAATCGAAATTACAAAATTTTTTGACTAATGAAAATTGTAGTTAATCAATTTGTATATATAACAATTGGACAATAATAAAATGTAAGTACCTGATAATGCAATTCCAATCGCCGCATTATTTCTTTAGCCAGAGATAGCAGTGCGTTGTACTTGGTAGTGAGTTGCGTTATTGCATTAGAAATTCTCGTGTCAGCGCACGTTTCCAACAACATCTGAGCTTTCATATTTAAACGATCTAACTCCTTTTGCCAGTCGAACAAAGTTTGCAAGTGAATCTGAAATTGCTCGAGAACGTTTTTCTTTTCTTCCAGACCATCTTGCAATTTGTTAAACGTTTGAACCAACTGTTCAGTTTGCGTAAGCCATTCTGTAGCTTCGGAGAACTGATCCTCGTATTCAGTCCACTTTACTATGCCGACCTCGAGCAAACTCTTCGTGTTATTCAGCGAGTCTCTGTTATATAAACCGTAATACATGTATAAAATATGCCATGTGTACAGATATTGCAAAAATACAAAAGTATAGAGTTTAATCTAGCATTATACTTCTCTAAAGAAAAGTTTTTAATTAAAAAAAATGAAGTTTAGTTATTCTACTTACACATAGTTGTCGTATTCTTCTTGCAATAACGCCACTTCCTCCTCAATTATTTCTTTGTCTTCAGCATCCGCGATCTGACAAGCGGCATTGCCTTGTTCCAGAGCTCTCTCCAACTTCTTCTGACCCTCGGGCAATTCGCTCTGCAAAACTTTGAGCTGAGTGATTTTGCTAGCTAAAGATTCCTTATCTCCCGTAGGCTCCGAGCATTTGCTGAGTCTCTCTTTAGCTGCTCGTATCCATTGAACGAATTCATTACCGCTATCAATGAAAGCCTGATGCTGTTCAACAGTCTCTTTCTGTTTCGCGTACAATTCTTGTGCTTGCTTGCTCAAAGTCTCGTATTTAATTGAGATTTCCGTAGCTGGCGTCGCCTGTTGCAGATCTTCAGCCTTTGTGGTGACCGACTGAATCATGGGCTCGAACGCCACGATATCCTGTACAATACTGTTAGTTTGTCGCAAGTTCGCCTTTCTTTCTCCGATCGCTAAAGAACTCAATCCAACTAGACCTTTTCGAGCCTTGGAGACTTTCTGCTCGCATACCTGCTGCAGCTTCGCCTCGCGATCGTTTATCCACTGCTGTAGCTGCGAGTACGACGAACTGTAATCCGCCCACTGCAACAGACTCGTCTCGAGATGCACCTTTGTGGTGGAGATTTTCTTTACCAGACGCTCCCAATCGTTTTGTATTTCTTTCAACTGAGCGTTGATCTCCTCACGACCATCTGATCGTGTGTTTCTCATGACCTTCTCACCGCAATTCACGGTTAGATGTATCAGATTTTGGCCCTCCTCACGTTTTCTCAACAATTCCTGAATCTTGTCGAGTCTACTCTGTAGTTCTTCGCGACTGCTACTCGAAGCAGCTTCTGTCCCTTGACGTATAATTTGCTTGGCGTTTTCGATCCAGTCGCGAGCTTTCTTAAGGTTGCTTTCATATTCCTTATGTTGAGCCATATTGGTCTCGACCTTGTTCAACACGTCTTTCGCGAGGTTCACTTGCACCTGATAACGCGAATTCAAATGCCGCAGCTGATTGTTGACGTAAGTGTCCAAGTGAGACGAAAGCAAACCGGCGGCCGTTTTGTTAAATTTATCAATTTGCTCTTGACCTCTTATTAAATTATCGAGCAATTTCTTTACTTCCTGCACTTGCTTCTCCTTCTCTTTCAAATTCGGCAAAAGAGCATTTTTTTGTGCTTTGATGAGAATATCAAACTGTTGCAGCCAATCGCTGAGTCTCTCGTATTCATCCTTATAGTCACGCCATTGGCTCACGGTAGCTTCCAATTGATTCTTCTGTTGCTGAATCTCTGCAATAGAATCAGAGTTTGTTTATTGATACATTTAAGGTTACTGATATCTTTCTTTCTGCAAAGTAAAACTGATTATTATTCGTTTACAATTATTTAAATATTTTCCTACTTTTCAAACTATCAACATCGACGTTCTTATTGTTAGTGAATTATTTGAATAACTTTACCTTTGAATAATCCTTCAAAGCTTTCCGTGAGTGCTCGTATTTCGTTCCTGATAACTTCTTGTCCGACGAGACTGGTGCTGGCGCAAACGACCTTTCCTGTATGCTGTAAATGTTCCACCAACAATTCCCCTTGAGCTTTTTTATTCAACAAACTCTCGAGTGGTACCACCGCACTCTCAATCGCTAACTTATCGCTGAGCGATCTCTGCTTCATAGATGGTATCTTCTCGCGAGCCCGGCTGAGCCAGCCAATAAGATCGTCGTGAGCTTCCTTGTAAAGGCGATGATCTTTGTATTGTTCCTCTCGTTCGGCTAGCAAAGATTTGATCTTCTCGAAAAGCTCGTCAAATCTGTTCAGTATGTCTTGAGCCTGCGAGGCAGCTAATCCTTGCTGACCGCTCGCAATCATTTCAGCGACCTTGCACTTGAGACTGTCAACCTCGATGTTCTCGCAACGAACCTTCTCCTCGAGCGCCTTGATTCGTTCCAGCTGATTTCTTTTTTCTGACATCGTTGTTTGAAACTGCGAAATCTCATCAATCGACGTCTGCATGTACTCAACTGTTTTGTTAATAGATTGTATTTGCTCTAGCAAACCGGCCCATTTGTTTATCGAGTCATCTAAATTCGTCTTAGTTTCCAGCATCTTTGATGCCAAGGCACTCCACTGTTCCTGAAGTTTCGCTAAAGCTTCATTAATCGTTTGGTGACCAGCCGGAGCTGTATTCGCTAAAACTGCCTGGGCTAGTTCAACGATACCCTGTACTCTCGCAAAACCGTCTTCTTTGTATAACAGCAGATCTTGCACGATGTCCATTTTCTGCTCCAAATCTTTCTGCGAAGATGCGCTTAAATCAGAGCAATATGCCAGTTTATTTTTTATGTCTTCCAGCCACGTGGTACATTCCGCCAGTTGATTGTCGAATTCTTGATGCGTGGCAACATACTGATGCCAACGGTTATTAAGGTCTTTGACTTTACTGGAAATCTGTTGATATTTGATACTCAACTCCGACATGTAAGAAGTGCGGGAAGTAACAGTCTTATGGAGTTGCTGAGCCCGCTCAGCAACAGCATCGATCTCCAATTCTTTGGCGCGAACCTCACCTTGAAGAGCGCGTAATTTCTCGAGCTGAGTCTTCTTATCCGCCAACGTTGGCTTGAGATCGACGGCATGTAACTTTGTATCGGTGTCCCTCATCCACGCTAGACATCGCTCCTTCGATGTCTCAAACTCGCTCCATTGCTGAAGCTTGTTCTCCAGCGCTTCGATAGTGGATTTGACGGCTGAGATCAAGCCTTCCCATTCTTGCTGCGAGGTATCAATCTGCGAGCGGATATTTACCTGTCCTGATTCCAGAGTACCGGGTATTACTTTCTCACCTAGAGATCTGATTTGCTGCACTCGCGACTCATCTTCTGGCAGGCTGTGCAATAGATTCGTTAAGCGATCCAAATTCGTGTGCAGGGACACTCTCTCCAGCTCGACGTCGCCCCAGAGACTCACGGCGTTATGTGTGGCATCCAGCCATTCATGCGTATCTAAGACAGCTTTGCTGTATTGCTTGTGATCGCTAACTATACCTTCGTATCTTTCTACGAACTTCGTCGCGCGTTTCAGTAGCACATTGTATCTGTTTGTCAAATTATTCAGTGTTTGATCGATCTTATCGGTACGGTCAGGCAAATTGTCCGCCTTATCTCGGAGATCCAGTAAGAGATCTTGCTGATCTTGAGCATCATGTAAGATGGTACGATAGATCCGCAACTGAGCACGTTTCTCATCCAGTGTAGTTTTCAGTTCGATGTCTGGCTTCAGCTGAGCCTCTGTATTCCTCAGCCAGTTCTCGAAAGCCTCGCTGCACTCGTCAAAGCCGGACCACCGCGAGATCTTCGCTTGCAATTCGCGTTCGGTCAAAGCAATACCATCGTAAAGCTCTTCAAAGGCTTGCTGGAGGTCCAGCAATTGTTGGCGAATGATCTCTCGGCCCTCCGTGCCAGTCGTGGGATACAATCGTTCCCCAGCCTCGACGGTACTGTTAATCAAGAGAGTGGATGAAGACTGACGAGCCAAGAGCTCCTTTAGAGTTTCCACATTTGAAATCAGTTTCTGACGTGTACCGCTAGCGTTCTCCTTCGAGGACTGATAGCGCACTCTTACGTTTGCTAGCCACTCGGAGCACTGTTTATAACGATCTAAATAGCTGGCATGATCCACTACCGCTTGTTCGCATTTCTTTATCAGTTCCTAAAAAAATTTTAATTTAAATAAATAAAATTAGTATAATAATATAATTAGTATAATAGTAAATAAAAGTATAATATTATATTTTATTGTATCTTCAAAACGTCTTTATACAATGCTTACCTTAGCAGTTGCCTGAATTGATTGGAAACGTGACGTGACTTGTTGAACGCTAACAGAAAAGCGAGTCTCACCACTAATCTGCATCAACTCTGACGAATCATCGCTCATTTTATCGAATTCAGCCTCATTTTGCCGGAGATTCACAATCAGTGACTGAAAAAAATTATTTTTATGTCTTGACTGTTTTTAAATGAGATTTATTAATGAGCTGTTCCGCACAATTTATATGCGAGAAAATGAAGTAGAAAATTCTCTCTTCTTGCGTGCAGAAGCCTATTTGAATAATGGTTAGGCTATTATTTCTTAAATGTTAAACGCGAAGAAGTATAACACTAATTATGAAAAAAAATAGTTTAATGTTCCATCCTGATGTATCAGGTTTGCTTGTTCATCTCGATGTAAATGTCAGCGTCAAAGAAGCTCTCCATTCGTGCAGCTAAAAACAGATCTTACTACAAATTTTGAAGCTGAAAGCGTAATATTTACTGAACGCAAATAGATAGGTTGCCAAAAGTTTAACAAAAAAATTCATCTTGCTGATGCATAAAAAGTAATTGTTTAGTATTACAAAATGTTTAGTGCAACACTGATATTTATAATAATTTAGCTGTTCATATTCTTTCAGTTAAATCCAATATTGACCAAAAGATATTGATTTTATTGAATAAAATGACATATGTATCACTGTATCTGATATCACTAATCACACGTGTCGTTTAACGCTAATAAAATCACAAGACGAAGCGTTGCCATCCTCCACCTGCTCTGACAAAAGCTATAAAAGCTGAAAGATTATATGAAAAAACAGCAATTGTGTCGAAGAGACTCCTCTAAAGCCGTTGCAATCATCCGCCTCTCTCACAATCTTGCCTTGTTACAAAATGATATTTGCAGTTCGCATATCACTCTCTTACTTGTTCGAGGTAATCACCAAGTGCAACCAGTTCTGCCACATCCGTGTTTCGCGAATCGGAGACCTTCTGTAGTTCCTAGGAAATTTTATTATATATAATCATTGTGCGCGCGAAATAATTGTGCTCTACGATTGGAGATAAAGAGTTGCGTAGATAGGGCTTTCTCCTCTTTTTCGTCGACTAAAAATATTTGCCTGATCTATCGTATAGGATGTACAAAGAAACAACAACTGCAAATTAATACTGCAAACTTTATATTCGTGTTACATTTAGGTGTGTGAAAGATGTCAGTGCGTGTGTGTTGAGAAAACGGCTACATCTAATTGAAATTATAATTGAACGCTTTAAATGTGCACACTTCAAATTATGTTACTACTTTACATGAGTCAGGACAATTTTGTGATAACGGGATAAACACAAAGCGGTCTTTATGTAATCGATATATTCGTTAAATAGGACACTTATCAAAATTCATGTTTGTAAAGCCAAAAGAAAACCGCATTTCTGTAACGCAACGCTGTAATAATTTGGAACCTACTTGATATTTTTCAAGTTGCTCCTGCTTCTCCTCAAGGGTATTCTTCAGACAATAGTTCTTTAATGATGTTTCGGCATCAGTAAGCCAAGCGAGCAAACGTTCTAACGAATTCTCATATTCACTCCACTGTTGTATTCTTTCTTCGATGCAGCGTACCACATCGCTCACGGCTGTAGCAAATTTTTTATTTTCGAATCTAGAGAGAGAAATTATTCGTTTCATTTCTAAGTACTTTCTTTTTATAAATAGACTAATTATTGATCATTTTCTCTTTGAAAATCTTTACCTGAGATTAGCTAAATCTCTTTCCATAGATTCTTGCGAGCGAGGTGGTAAAGTACGCGCACTTTGCGCCACATGTTCTCCAAGGACATTCAGCTTCATTTCACCTTCGCTTTGACTATCCTGTATCTCTATAATTTTAGCTAATCTCGCCTGAAGAGCAGTCTTGTTTCCTGTGTAGTCACTGTAATTCGCTAAGCGTTCCCATTGACGTTTCTGGTAATCTTGATAAGCTTTCTGCAGATCATGGAACTGCTGGAAAATATCAAGCAATGCCTCCAAGCCGGATATTCCTTTCTGAGATGTATCCACGAGCTTCTCATATCTCTTCGAAACTGAAACGACTTTTTCATGAACATCCGATGGAACTTGGGTAACTTGGACTAAAGCGTTAGCTTTTTCGGAAATGCCTTCGACAAGACGTTTATGAGCCAAAATCTCTTGATGTAATGTCTGAAATAAAATTTCCCAGATAAGGTAATTAATGATTTTTATTTTTTATATATTTTTAAATAGTAGTACAAATGTAAGAAGAATGAAATAGAAGAACCTTCAGTTTGAGTAGTTTCGATTTTATTTCCTGTAAGGAAGACCACACGATCGAAGAATCTTGTTTAACTGCACGCTCCATCGTGTCCAACCAAGTCAGAATTTGTTGTAGAGTTTCTTGATAGCTGGACCATTGTAAAGATTGAGCGTCTTGCTTCTTCTGTTGCTCGGTGATACCTTCGGCTAAGCGGTCCCATCTCTCGCGAGCGTTTCGCAACTCATGCCTAATTACTTCACGTCCCTGAGCCGAAGTGTCCGGAAGAATCCTCTCGCCTAGAGATGTTAGGCTAGCTAAGCGATGTTCCGCCTGTTCTTTTTCGGCTAGCAAAACTTGTAAACGCGAGTTTCTTGTTTCAAGATCTCCGCCAATCTCGTCTCTCTTCAAGATGGCCAAGTTTTTCTCGAGTGGAGTAAGCCAAATATCGATGGCTTTCAATTTCTCTTCGTAAGCGCGATGATCATCTACGATGCTTTGGCTACGGTTTATCACCTCTTTACTGAGCACATGCAGCAGTTGATATCTAAATATTTAATTAAAGTTTACGGGTGATGTATTATTACTCTTATCCTCCTATAACTCTTTATTTAGGAATTGAATGTTGATTGTCTGGAGTTATCAAATATGAATGTGATACAATTGTACGTTTTAAAACGTATATTTGATATTCAAATTATTTTACTGTATACGCACATGTGGAAGGCTATGAAAAATATGAGAATAGCAGCTTCTTGTTAAAAATAATTCGACATACCTGTTGCTGACTTGGGAGATTAGTGGCTTGATGCGTTCGATACCACTCGTATGCAGTAAATTATGCGACTTGTCTACGAATTCGTCTATCTCCCGCTCCTGCCGTACGATAATCTCGCGTTTATCTTTAAATGCGCGTAGTCGCGCTTCTTTATCTTTCAATGTAGGCTGCAGCTGTTGGTCTCGGAATGCCGCCTCCATAGAACGAAACCATTTCGTGTGAGCTTCCAGCTGATCCTCAAAGTTCTGCCATCTCTCCAGAGCTGTTTTCTGTCGCTCCTGTACAGATTCTGAAAAACAGAATTTGCCGGTGAAATGAATGCGATAGATAGAAATCGCGGATTAAATAAGCTTATACAGATTTTGATTTTTCTATGTAACTTTGAAATCACATGTGAATTAAGTTTACCGATTTCGCTCAGGAATTGCCGCAAATTATTTTCCAAGGTGATGACTTCCTTATTAATAACTTCCCGACCTTTTGGCGCAGTGCTATTAGCCACAACTTCACTGAATTCCTTTAATCTCGTGAGATGTTCCACTCCCTGTGCTTGACCGTCTTTTAACATTGACAAGCTCGTTAATCTGCGAGATATTTCAGATCGTTCGCCCGTTATGTCATTACATTCTGCAAGTTTTTCTCGTTCTCCGTTCAACCAATCGGAGAAGCATTTGCATTGCAGATTGAAGCGATGATGCTTCTCGCAGCAGTCCTCTAAATTCTCTAACAAATCTCGCGATTTAGCAACGATATTTTGGAAGAGCTGCTTGATGGATTGCAGATAGACATTCAAAGAAGTATCCTTGGTTTGATCGACCAACTGTTGCGCCTTGTCGCAAACCGATTCGACTAATGTCTGATGCGACATGATTTCCTGATGCATAATTTTGTGATTCTGCAGTTGCGCGCGTTTTTCCTCTAACGATGATTTCAGTTCTGTGTGCTGATGCATCGCGCGTTCGACATCTCGCAGCCAAGCCGTTAATTGTTCTTGGGACAAGGAGAATTCAGCGAACTGCATCAGACATTGATCCAGCTTCTGCATCGAGCTCTGTAAATCCTCGGAAAATCCATCCCACAGACCGCGTAGATTTCTCAACTGTTGTCTGATTATCTCTCTACCGTCCGGCGAAGTGTGCACGTAGAGTTTCTCGCCGAGATCGATGACGGATTCGAAACGAGCGTTTTCGCGAGTCCGAACATCACCAAGATCCCTGATGTGCTTCTGTCTGCTTTGCAATACTGCCAGATCGCCAACAATCTCGCTATGTTTCTTCAACTCGTCCTGAACCTCATTGATCCAATTCAAGAATTGATTGTACTTTTCGTTGAACAAATTATGCTCCTTTACGTATTGCTCGTATCTCGCCACAGCTTCCTTCGTCTGATTCCTGATCGCTTGATACTTGGTAGCTTGACGAGATATTTTGGTAACCAAATCGGATTCTGCTTCTACACCTTGACTTTTCTCAACAGCGGCATTAAACTCTACGCCTTTTGCCATAATAGTCTCTTCCAAGGACTTCAATTTCTGTAAGTGCACGCGTTTCGTTTCCTCGGTGCTCTTCAAGCTTTGATCTTTCACTTGCATTTCGATCTGCTTGAGCCAAGAATCTAGACGTTCGACTACTCTTTCGAACTCGGACCATTGGTCAAATAGACGATTCAATTTATCCCTGCTTGAGATGCATCGTTGAAGGAAATCCTCCCAAACTTTCTTCTGTTGCTCGAAACCTCCCAGCAACACGGGATGGCCAGCTATCGCGGTTTGCTCCAAAATGATGTTTAATTGTTGGTTACAATCGGCTATAATCCTATCGCCTTCAGGCTTTTGTTGTAACACGTTTTTGATCAAAGCAATTTTAGACTTTGCCGCATCTCGATCTATAGAGAGATCCTCGCTGACAGGCGCCGCCTCGTTTACCACCGCGTTGATCCAATCTCGCATTTTCTCGAACGTCTGGAGGTAAGCCTCGTGATTGGCAACGTGCTTTTCCATTATACCGATTCTATTATCCACATCTTCCGATAGTTTCTCGTGCGCCTCGATCACACTGTTGAGCATCTCGCTGGCTTCGTCGTCCGGTACTGCTCCAAGCTTGTCCTGAAGTTGTTCCAGAATGTTTCGGTGAACTCCGACATCTTGTGCGATAGTTTTACACAAGTGCAAGGCAAGCTTTTTCTCTTGAAGTGACGGTAGCAGATCCTGCTTGTCACCCAATTTCTTTCGTGCCTCAATTAACCACTGCTTTACCTGGGAATACTTGTCTTCGAACGAGGACCGATGCATCATGTCACTCTCGATTTTCTTATAGATCGCGTTTGTATGATCAACCAAGGCTTCCATGCGACTACGCAAATTTCTCAGCTCACTTCTAATGAATTCTCTGTGATCTGGTGTTATCCTCGCGAAAAGTGTTTCGCCCGCTTCCGCTGTTCGATTCAAAATTGCTTGACCGGTTTCGCGTTCCTCCCCAAATGCTTTTAATTCTTTCAATCGAGATTGGTAGAAAGTCATTGGCTTCGGACCGCTGATTTCATCGAAAATTTTCAATTTCTGTTCCGCATTTAGTAACCACGATTCCAGCTCCTTTACATTAGCGGTATATTGGGCTCTGATTTGTTTAAGTTCTCTCAGTCTGTCTAAATGTTGAACAAGAAATTTAAGCACTGAATGATAACGCGTGTTCAAATGTCCGACGTATTGGGCTACGCGGGACTCTGGGCTAACTTTGGTAATATCTTCTCCAAGTGCGGTCAGCTCCTTCATCTCACTTTCATAATTCTCGACCTTTTTTTGAAGCTGCATTATCTCGGTGATCTTCGTGTCAATTTCATCCGGATTTAAGAGCATTGTTGCCTCCATTCTGATTTTGTTTTCATTCTCTTTAAGCCAGGAAACTACGTTTTCCGATGTAAGCTCGTACCGTTGCCATAAAGCAATATTTTGCTTCAGCACGGATTTGATCTTACGAAAGCTGACCTTCAGGGACTCTAAGTCAGCGGTGACTTTGTCGCGTTCGTCTCTGAGAGCAGAAATTGTCTCGCTACTCTCGACAGTGCCTAGAAGTGTCAGCGAATTATCTGTGTCTACTTTTCGTGCTTCACAATCGGCAATGCCATTTTCCACATCGACCAACGAGGCCATCTTCACCTCGAGATTGTAACGATCGCTGCTCTGTTCGGGTTCGCACCAGGCTACTTTTTCCTTATGAGTCGCCACCATACGCTGCAGAGCGCCAAATTTCTCGTGATAAAGTTTTGTCAAGAAGGCCACCAATGTAGCGTTAACTTTGTCGGCATGACTGACCACGCCGTCTCTACGTAGTTGCAACGCCTGCAATTCTTTTGGCAAACTGGACTTTGATATAGTTGGATACTCTGACACCATGTCTGTCAATTTCTCATCAATTTCCGAAAGTGCGTAATCGCATTTTTCCAGCTCGGCTTTCAACTCTTGACACTTATTAATTCTATGCAGAATCTTGGCATTCTCGCCGGTTAGATCATCACATTTAATTATCTCTTCGCGAATCTTCGATATTATGTCGCTACATTTCTTCAGCTCTTGTCTAATGCCTTTTTCTTTTTCATTGAAAGTTGATGTAAACGACGCGAGCTTATCCGCGGCCTCTTTAACAACTTTGAATTGTTCATCCAATAAATCATTGAGGGATTTCAAAGTCGGGATATCCATGTCATCATTCAGTTTGACAAGTTGTTTGGTTTTTGTGGCGATCCCTTGACGAAGTTGTTGATACACTGGCAATTCCTCGCGATATCTAATCAATAGCGCTTGTCCACTCTCAGCGTCGAGTAAACGCTCGCAAGCCGCGGTGAGCGAATCGTTCGTGTCGCCGAGCCACTTTGTGAGATCATATTTTGCTTCTTCGATCTGCTTCCAGATAATGACTTGCGTTTCGTACGCTTGAGTCCGATCAATCACCTTGGCGTTAATCTCGTGGTATTTCTTTCGTATATCAGACAAGTCTGATTCGATCAGACAAGTCTTGAAGTTCGGCATTAGCGACGTTTCTTTCGCCAGTTGTTGCGCCTTGCCATCCATCTTGTCCAAAAACTGTTTACCTTTCTTCAAGATCTCCAAAGCTCTTTTGTGCTTTTCCAGAGCCACACTTGCCTGAGTAATGTCAGTAGACACATCTCTGACTGACTGACAAAGATTTTTCGCTTCATCAATGAATTTGTTCAATTTCTCCTTGGCTTCCTGATACTGCTTCCAATCAGCATCCATTTCAGCATATTTCCTTCTCTGCTCGCGCAAGAGTTCATTCACTTTTTCCCAGTTACTATCCACCGAAGAGACCACTACCTGAATATTAGTTATCGCTCGTTGATCCTCTTTCATCAAATTTTCACCTTCTCGATGAAGGATTTCTTTGTCTGGTTCTCGTCTCTGATGATCCTCGATCAGATCGTCTATCTTCTCAATTGCCGGCGCGAGTTTGCCGCAAGTGTCAACAGTATACGTGATGTTTTGCAGGCTCGTCTGAGTGTTGACAATTTCTTCCGTAATTTTTTGCTGCAATTTTCGGAAGTTATCCCATTTAGCACCAAGGTTCTCCAATTTGTCGCGTTTAGCAGATAATTCCGTCTTCAACACCGTAGCCTTGGATTCAAGATCATTCAGTAAGGAAGTCGCGGTAAGTGGTCTCTCTTGCTTGTCACGAATGTGTAATCCCAGAGTGCTATCCATTAGTGGGACATGTTCCTTCCAAGTGTTAATCTTCGTATATACAACTTGAAGGTCCGAAGAAAGTCTATCAAGATCAGCGATAGTTGGTTTTCTAGCGTCAGATTCGTATTTACAATGATTCAATTGTGCATTAGCGTCATTATGCCAGCTCAAAAGTTCGATCCACTTCTCTAGACCCTTCTTCTTCTCTCTCAGGTCGTCTTCGAGAGCCTTGTACTTTTTCGCCAAAGACGTATATGTCTCGTCCAATGCGGCGGCTTCCAACACGGAACCTCGCGACGACAGTTGTTTTATTTCGTTGTAGATTGCCGTAAATGCCGGTTGTTTTTCCGAATGCTCTTGAAGATAAGCATGCATCGTTTGTAAATTAGTATCGACATTATCCACATTCACGTCTCCAATCTCATTGATGTTAGATCTTAGTCTCGTCATCCAGTTCTCGAAATCGGTGATCTTCATCTGGAATTCTTGTCGGGCCAACAACGAGTCAGAGACACGATTGATATGATGTCGAACTGTGTCCGCAAGTTTGCTTACCCTGGCCTTTATTTCAGCAACGCGACCTTTTAATGCGGAGGCACCGTCCAGCGACAAACCATGGCTAATATGATCGGAAACTTGAGTCAACGATATCAATTGAGCCTGATGATCGGATATGCTTTTGTTGAATTCCTTCAATTGCGCCAATTCCTTCTCCAATTTTGCGGCTTCCGGTGTTTGAAGATTAGGTTCTTTGAGAGCTTCCCTTTCACTATTCTGTAACCACTCATTGAATTCTTTCACTTCTGATTCGAAAGTGTTCCATGATGAAACTAATTTATCCAGCTTGGTCGTCGTTTGTACCGCCACGTCGTGAACTGCGTTCCATCGTGTGTGTACAGCATCGACTTCATCAGGTGCCACTGTTCTTCCAGTTATCTGCTGGCTAATTGTTGACAAATTCTGAACCTTCGGAAGATGCTGTTGACATTGAACTTCAAAGGCCTTTGCTGATTCTAACATTTGCGTGGCTTGGGCCAAAGTGGTGGGTTTGCTGCCCATTGCAGCTGCTTTAGACTCCGCTTGTTCAATCCAAGGTTTTATCTTCTGAATGCCTACTTCGTATTCTTTCCATGTTGCAAGATTTTTCGTAGCCAATTTACGCTGAGTTTCTATGCTCTTATTCAACGATTCAACTGCCTTATGAAGATTCTCGATGTCCTCGCGAAGTTGCTTCGCCGGTACATCTTTACAGTCTTCTGTACATATGAGAAAAATACATTTTTATATTCGAATTTTTTAGCGTAAATGCTAAATTGCATTTACTTAAATTCTATTTAAATTTCTTCAAATATTACATTTAAATTATATACTATATATTTTACATCTTTTATAGTATTAAACGCGATTACTTTATTGAATAAATCTTTATAAAATAATAGAAAAAGATAGTATAAAATACTATTTTATATAAAATAATTACATATAAAAACTATTTAATTATTTATACAAGTGCTCGGAATTATTTGCACTTCTCGCTGGATTTTTGAGACAAACGCCTACTTTTGTCCCCTTGCCACGCACACTCCAGCGACGGTCAGTTTAGTCCCAGTCTACAATAGAGATTTAAGCCCTAAGCCTTAAGAAATTGACTAATCACAGTCGCGCATTCTGCTCACACTTGACCGTGATTGGCCAATTTCTTAAAGCTTAGGGCTTAAATCATCTATTGTAGACTGGGACTTACTTCTCGATAGTGGGGCGTGTCTCAGGAGCGGCCCTGTTTTAAAAGCAACCAGAATGAAACCTGAGAGCGGCCACGCCGGCGCGGCGGTTAACTTGTTACTGTTTCGCTAGGCTATTTGAAATTTCAAGGATTGGATTTCCGAGAATTTCAAACTTGAAATCGCGAAAATCGCAACACTATCAAACATTCCAAGAATAGAATTTCCGAAAATTTCCAAATTCAAATCGCGAAAATCGAGAATCGAGAAACTGGCAAAGTATCAGGAGAACATGATCAGCAAAGAGCACTATCAAAAATTCCAAAAATTGGATTTCCGAGAATTTTATTCTTCAAAACGCCAAAATCGAAATTCGCAAAACTGGCAAAGTATCAGGAGAACATGATCAGCAAAGAGGTGGCACTATTAAAAATTCCAAGAATTGGATTTCCGAGAATTTTCACATTCAAATCGCGAAAATCGAGAATTTTCTTTTTTTTACCTAAATTTTCTCCCAAGCACACGCGGTGTGTGGTGTGTGGTGTGTGGTGATAAAATACAATCAGATTGACATCGATTGGAAACGATTACTAGATTATATGTTAATATTATAAATAATATATAATTAGAAAAAAAAGTAAAGTAAAGTAAAGTGTGCAAATTAGAAATTTGCACA